GCCAATTGGGCACCAGAAGTAAGAGTTCTGCCTCCTATTCCAACATCTTGCGAACTACCCTCTGGTTGAGAGGGAGGGGCGGAAACGCATATAGAAGACCCTTGGGCCACTGGCACATTAGAGCATCTACCCCTTCTGTCATGGGGTTCACAAACCATGAGTAGTACCTGGGGACTTGGTTGTTGTCCGCTGTCGCAAACAGGTCTAGGACAGGCAGCCTGAACTGAAGCGTCAGTTGATGGAAGCGTCAATTGATGGAACACTCCACTCCGCCTGATCTATTCTGGTCCGGCTCAGCCAGTCTGCCTGGATGTTGGAGACCCCCGAGATTTGTTCCACCTGAGAGATGGTAGGTGAGATTCCGTCCATCGGCACAATAGGTTGTCTTCCTGCATCAGTGGCCAGGACCGGGTTCCCCACTAACTGTTTATGTGCGCCTTGGTAGTGGTGTTGTCAGTCAGGACAAGGATATGATTGTCCTGGACCGTGCGTTGGGAGTGAATGAGGGCGAGACGAACTGTCCGTAGTTCTAGCCAATTTATGCTGTTTTGGCTTTCTTATAGTTACCACTGACCCTGTGGCACCAGGTCCTGCATGTGCACTCCCTACACTGTCAGGCTGGCGTCCGTCGTAAGAGTGAGATGGCTCGGGAACTGCCACCATTTAAGGGACTGGATGACCTACCTCGGAATGATAACCCTGTGGAGGGAACAGCTCCTATTGGTCTTCTAATGAGGCAGCATGAACCACTGGAGAGTTCTGCTGTGGAACTTGGCCCACAGGACTACCCCAAAGCAAGATACCATTTTGCCCAATAGTTTGGAAAGCAAAAGTAGAGACACTTTGTGTAGGTGCAGGACCCTCCTGACTATCTCTTTGAGGCTAAGAATGCGGTTGTTGGAAAGAAATACTTTCTCTGCCACGATATCTATGATGACTCTGAGGTGAAGAATGCGAGTCCCGAGCACGAGGTGGCTCTTCTTGAGATTCACTCCAAACCCATGATCCTGTAGGGCATGGATGGTTAGAGCTAGATCCCTTTCTGCTTGTAGAGGCGACTGGACGAATGTCATCCGGGTAGCAGAGAATCCAGATTGGAGATGACCTGAGGTGGGCGGCTAGGACTGCCAGCACTTTTGTGAATACCCTGGGGGCCGAGGAGAGGCCGAACGGAAGGGCTCAGTACTGGAAGTGCCTCCCCCCATAAGAGAAACGGAGAAAACTTTGGTGGTCTACGAAGATGGGAATGTGAAGGTAAGCTTCGGTTAAATCTACCAAAGTGAGGAAATCACCTTTCCTGACTCCCTGTAGGATGGTGTGTAGGGAGTGCATCTTGAACCACCGGTAAACAATGTGGAGGTTCAATGACTTTAGATCCAGGATTGCTCTTCATCCCCTGGAAGACTTTAGTACCACAAAGAGGCGGGAATAAAAGCCCTGCCCTTTCTGATGAGGGGGAACCGGTTGGATAGCCCGAATCTCCAGCAGATGTTGAATGGCCTGCTCCATCAGAAGCCTCTTGTGAGGCCCCTGAGAGAAAGGGCGTGGTACAAAGTGTTCCTGGAGGGTGGAGAGGAATTCCAGCATGACCGAATTTGATCATTTTGATTACCCAATTGCCTGTCGTGGTCTCCTCCCAGTGGTGGGCGAAAAACGCTAGGCAACCCGATTGGAAAAGAGTCCAGATAGTCACTTTTGGCATGAGAAATGGCGATTACCTCCTTCCCGGTAAGACTTCTTTGGGGGGGGGGGGAATGCTGGGCGTTTTGGTTAGGTCTGTCCTGATTAGATCCCTGTCTGGGGGTGAAGGACTGGTGTTGTGGACAGGAGAAGGAGGATCCCCCGTCGGCTGGCCAAAAGGGCGACCTCCTGTAGAAAGGAGCACAGCGACTGTCCTGCTTTTTATAGATAGAGGAAAGCACTTTGCGTTTGTCCTTAGATTCCATGAGATACAGATCCAAAGGAGTTCCAAAGAGCTGAGTGCCACTGAAAGGGGAGGCTGCAAGGCGCCACTCGGTACGGACATCTGCCTGCCATGGTTTGAGCCATAGCAGGCGCCTGGCCATGACCAAAGAGGCCATGGCTTTAGAAGTGAACCTGGCAGCATTAAGAGAAGCATTCAACAGCTGCCCTAATCTTATTTAGATCCCTGTGTGATCTAGTGTCAGTGGTTGCCATACGTTCCTGGAGATGTTCTATTCAGACTAGAGCAGCCCTGGAGAAAAAGGAAGTAGCTGTGGAGGCCCTAACTGCCCAGGCACCTGCCTGATAACTTTTGACTAAGGTTTGATCTGACCTTTTCTCCTCGAGTTTAAGGACTTTTTCAGGGGCTCCAGAGACCACTGTAGCTGAAGACAAGGCTGCAACCGGTGCATCCACTGAAGGAGTCTCGAGAAATTTGGTGAGTTCCAGAGCGATGTTGTAGAGGCGTTTGTGTAGGTTGGTAGGCTGTGGACCTGTTCCAGGGGAGTCCTACTGCTTTTTGGATCACATTCATGAAGATTTTAGGTGAAGGAATAACCTCCTTTTTCACTGTAGGTTCGGTGAACGGAGTGCTGGGGATGGTAGCTGGCTACGCCGCCTGAGTCTGTGCTGAAGAAGCTGAAGAAGAAGATGGTAAGGTAGCTGCTTTTATTGATTTTAGTAGGAGGGATTCAAAGCGATCAATTTTGAATAATCCAGCAAATGCAGGGGCATCCGGAGGAACCGCCCCCCCCCCAATCATCAGACAGTTCTAAATCTCTGACGTTGGCCGGTTTCCCAAAGATGGAAGCCTGAGAGGCAGAAGCAGAAGGAAGGTGTTGCTGGGTATCCCCAGGTGATCTGCGCCTGTGACTATGAGATGGTATAGGAGAGGGGGCGCTGTTGAAGTCCAACAGCCTTGCTTTATGGCTTCTGAGATTATGGCTGCCATTCCAGTAGGTGAGGAGAGCAAGGCCTGAGGGACCCCTGTGCACTGAACTGTAGGGGGTTGGCCTGTTCAAAGTGCGATCCCTATTGAGAGGGACATCGAAGAAATTGCCTCTGTTATCTGGGTCTATGGAGGAGGAAGATGCTGAAGAGGGCAATTCCCCATCTGAGTCATCCAAAGATGGACAAGGACCCATCGGTGGCAGCTCAGGTGGGCCTGGGGAGGTGGCTTGATTCCCCTTGGGAGAAGGGGGAGAGGCCTGAATAGTTTGGTTCGCCTGCAGTTTTTGGGCCCATTGAAATTCTTTCTCAAGGCCTTTTGTCTCCACTCCTCAGCTCTGGTAGAGGATTTGGAGGTTTTGTGGTTTACCCCTAAATCAGGAGCCTCCTTGGCTGCCCTCTTCCTGCTGCTCTTTATTCCTGATGGCCCCGCCTCTTCTAGGCTTTTTTCCACCACCATAGGTTGTTCAGCCATACTACCAGATGAAAGCCCCAACTGGAGATAAATAGGCAATGGTCTCACCCGTCTTGCAACCTCCTTAGCTCAGCGGTTCACTCCGCGATCACCTCGGGTCACTGGGCACTCGAAAGGTGGCTGCTACTCTTCGTGCACTTTTTTTAAAGTCTAAAATGGCCACCACTGTCTTCGTGGGCTTTTAGAAGCTGCAAGATGGCTGCCACTGCACTTTGTGACTGGTTGCCTCACAGAGTGGCCGCTGACCCAGTCTGATGTTCCTGCGCGTGAAAGGGCTGGTCGCGCATTTTCCGGATGCCCAGGAACTCAGAGCGCCTTGGTAGAAAGCCCCGGAGCTGTAGCTCGTGAGCTGGGCAATCTGACTGAGATCGCAAGCTTTCCAGGGTGAACTCGTGACCGCAGGCAGTCTGACAGCTGAGAAGAGGCTTCGAACCAAGTTTGAATCTTCTGCTCAAATGAACAGGAGAAAAAAAAAATAATGCAAAAAAACCAATCTAAAGAGAAAAAATTTGGAAAAAATTGCCAATTAGTGCTAAAAAGCTGAAATTTGGAGGAGAGATCAATTCTCACAGCTAGTCCAAGTTGGACTGAGTCTAAACTGGGAGAAGTCACCAGGTCTCGATGACACCACGTGTAGACTCAGTCCAATTGATTACTGGACAGAGCAACCCATTCTGGCTGCTGTCTCCACGATCATAGGAGAATATAGGGTCTAGCAAGAATTAGATAACATGTGCGAGGAACCCACCAATGATAAACCTTATGCCCATGGAATGCATAGATTGACACACAGCATTTACTGCACACACAAAGGAAGCTTCAATTGATTGATCGCAACCGCTTTGGAAAACTGCAGAAAACAAGAGTTTCAGCAATCATGGTCATGACTTCTTCAGCCATCGCGAGACATAATAGCTATGGGGTCACCAAGTAGATCCAAACACTGCATTCAAAGTTTTATTATGCCAAAATGAACGCTCATTTTCTGCGGTTTGCCAAAACGGTTGCCATCAATCAACTGAAACCCTCTTTGTGTGTACAGAAACAGCTGTGTGTCAATCTATGCCTTCCGTGGCCGTAAGGTTTGTCATGGATTGGTTCCTCGCACACGATACATGTTTAATTAACGTTCTCGCTAGACCCTATATTTTATGCCAATTTTAACCATGTTATTGTAAGTTTGGTACCAACGAGTCAATACAAAATGCTTGCATTTACTGTCTTTTAATTGTATTGTTTAAACTTTTAAGATTCAACTCCCACAATTCCCCAGCCAAGTAAAGTCCACATATCTTAAAATTGACAAGTTTGAAACCCTTCACTAGAGTTCATTGTTTCAATTAGTCACTAAAATGACAGGTTTCTAGAGCTCATTACTAGTAACTATAAAACTGCCTGTTTCATTCCTCCCACCCTATCATAATACTTTACATTTTGTTATTTGCAGCTTCAAAGGTGAGACTTTCAGAGGCGCAAATATTAGGCATTCTCTTAAAGGTCCAATTTTGAATTCCCAACTGTTGTTTTCACCTCAATTCTGCTAGACTCACAAAAATGAGAGATTGCAGCAAAACTCAAAACAACATTGCACAAATAATACTCTACATACATTTATTGTATTTATTAATATGAATAAGTGGGTCCCATGTTTGATCTTCATACAGAATATAAAGGAAATTAATCAGTACAGCATTTCTTTTGCTTGTACAAAGAGTAACACAAATTATCTTGATGGTTATGATACTCACGTGCCTCTCGAAGGGTGCTGCGTCTATTTCTCCATGATGCTACCTGTTCCAGGAAGAGCGGGCCTGATGATCCCAGCGAATCTGCAGATGTTCCAAAGTAAAACAGAGCACAGGAAAATGTTATGTAATAGGAACAGTAATAAGACAAGATTAATTCTTCTCTTCGTGTCCTATTCCCCCATGAGCATTGAATAGTCTAGAATAGATCAATATTTCTCAACCGTGACAACTTTTAAGATGCATGGGCTTCAGGTTTCCAGAATTCCATAGTGAGGTTAAGTCCACACATCTTAAGGTTGCCATGGTTGAGAAATGTTAGTCTAGATCAGTGGTAGTCAACCTGATCCCTTCTGTCCACTAGTGGGCATTCCAGCATTCATGGTGGACGGTACAGGTTTGTCCGATATTGAAGCACTTTCCTTTTTAAAATTTAACTGACTTCCCTACTTTATAAATCACCATTACTGTGGAACCGGTGGGCGGTTAGAAAATTTTACTACTAACAGAGATACAAAAGTGGGCGGTAGGTATAAAAAGGTTGACTACCCCTGGTTTAGATGCTGAAGATTCGCCGGTTTCCTTTTCCCATGGTGTATCACTGGAATAGTTATTCTCCTAGCGATAATTTGGGTGGAAGAATTATATGTTTCAGCATTCCAAATATCATCCAAAATTAAATCAGAGTCCAAGGCAAAATATTCCTCAAAGTTCCAATGTATTAATAATTACATGTTGGCAAATCTGTGGAAACCCGAATCTGAAAGCTTCCCAGTTATCCCATCCATTTGAAAGTTCATGATCTTGCCCCCACACCCACAAGTCCATCACATAGTCCAATCTTCCACTGCCACACTGGCAGTTCCATCCATCCAGTTCTGGTCATGCTCAGAGGTGTAGAGATCAAAACATGGCTTTCAAGAAAGGAATTTTTTATTTTGACAACAACACATTCTACTCCTTACTATTCCCCCTCCCCATTCCCCACTAATGAAAAGCATAGTAGAAAAGAATCTTAGTGTGGTAGGCCAAAGATCTTAAAAGGAACTGACTGCAGACCTGGCAATATGTAGAACAGTGGTGGGTTTCCATTATTTTTACTACTGGTTCGCTTGTGTGCTCGC